CACCAGGAGCTAGCATCTGGAGCTAACACCAGGAGCTAACACCTGGAGCTAGCACCAGGAGCTAACACCTGGAGCTAGCACCAGGCGCTAACACCTGGAGCTTGCATCTGGAGCTAACACCAGGAGTGAGCATCTGGAGCTAACACCAGGAGTTAGCATCTGGAGCTAACACCAGGAGTTAGCATCTGGAGCTAACACCAGGAGTTAGCATCTGGAGTTAACACCAGGAGCTAACACCAGGAGCTAGCATCTGGAGCTAACACCAGGAGCTAGCATCTGGAGCTAACACCAGGAGCTAGCATCTGGAGCTAACACCAGGAGCAAACACCTGGAGCTAGCACCTGGAGCTTACACCAGGAGTTAGCATCTGGAGCTAACACCAGGAACTAGCATCTGGAGCTAACACCATACTGTATATTTCAGCTCTGGAGCTAGTTCTATATTTTGTTTTAGCTCTGACTTCATTTGGCTCTTCTCTCTGTTTTKAATTTGTTTTTAGAAGTTGTGACTCCACCTTGTGTTTTTGTCTCACTCTGTAGCTCCTAGCYCCGGACATCCGCCATGAGAGGAACGTCCTCCTGCAGTGTGTGCGCTACGTCGTCCACAACAACTTCTTTGGTGTGGAGAGCAAACCTGAGGGGTTACAGAGCATGAGGAGCACGTCAGCCTCCAGAACAGGAGGAGAATCAGAGAAAGCCTCTCCTGGTGGTGAGGAGGGACTCACAGYTRGAAATGTAAAAGTTAAAGAAAGAAGTGAAGCTGTTAGCCAGGACCCAGGTCTGCAGAGAGACAGTTTTTGCTCGGATACATCCAGCCATCCTCAAACTGTACAGAGTGTTGACAGGACTGAAGGTGATTCTATCAACCATGAAGAGACCACTGACAAAGACCACCACAGTTATAATCTGACCATCACAGATGAAACCRCACCTGCTTTCTACACGTATGATGATGAGATATGGGAAAGTARCGGAGCCGTTCAATGAAATCAGACATGAAACTGACACAAATGTTTTCTTTATTGCCTTTTATGTTTTATTATGTAAAAACCCAAATTGTATAATAAAAACTATGTTCCACATTTTAAGCACTATTTTGTATGCATTATGAAAAATCAATCCTTTGTGCATTTGCTATTTTTATGTGCATTAATGCTCTTGTTT